ATAATATATATATATGCCTAATCAAGTGTCACAGAAACTGCATTTGTCTTTTCCTGATTATGGTATGGCACACCTGTATATGGTATGGTGTGGTATGGTATGGTATGGGGTTGATATTTGATATGCCCCTTTCCATACTGTAGGGTATTCAAGATCAAAGAAACATGACCTCTAGAAAGTCGCAAGCCCTATGGGGCCGAACCTGGCAGTCGTCAATGTCAACCAATTAAAACTCCCTAATTACGCCATGGTGCATAGCCTATAGTTTTGAAAAATAGATCTAAAAGATTCAGACTTCAACAGCTAAAATGTTTTAATATCTTATTTGTTATATGTCAAATTGAAAAGAAAACAAATACACAAACAAACAAACAAACAAACAAAAACAAACAACTACAAAAACAATAAAATAAAACAACAACAGGTCGGATTGTCTCGAACCTGTGACACGGTTTGCAGGGGAAAAGGGTCAGCAGTCAATACATGTAATTAGGTGTAGTTTGTTGCTCAGTTCTCGCAAAATAGTGAAGTTATAACTCTTTCCTTCGACGGATTTAGAACAAAGACCTGCGTCCGTCCGTCCGTTCGTCCGTCCGTGTAACATACAGTAGAGTGACTAGAGTTTTCGTGCGCATTCCACACCATGTCTTCACCTTCACTTATCCCGCAACTGGATGTCCGTCGGGGCGTTTTTGGAGATTTGACCATCAGCTTCCTTTGCTCCTTCCGGTCTTCAGCTTTCCTGAGCGTGTCTTTGGGTTCCAGGCCTGTCCATTCCTAGATTTTGTCCTCTCAACTCTTCTTCGGTCTGCCTCTGCTCCCTTTTCACTGGATCCAGATGCATACAGGGACATTGACATGACCAGGGAACCTATCAGTCTGATCTTTGATCTGATAGTGATATTTCTGTCTTTCCACAAGGTTTTCAACTTGATCATTGCTGCTGAAGTTTTCGCTATTTTTGACATTTTCTTCTAGTTTTGATCCTTCGTCTGTCACTGTTACTATTGCACCCAGGTATTTGAAGCCTCAAGCCTCTGGTTGTAGACCTGGATGTCCACTATGATGTTCTTGCTGCTGTTAAACATCAGTTTGGTCTTCTTTAGGCTGATTTCCATGTTGTAGGATGTGGTGGTATTTTCAAGACGGTCTATTGAGTTGACTAGTTCTTGCTCTTGTCCCGCAAGGCCGTCTATATCGTCTGCAACACCTAAGTTATTACTTGTTCTGTCCCCAATACTGACTGCTCCTTCGTGATCTTCAAGTGCATCTGTCATGATCATCTCCAAGAAAATGTTGAAAAGAGCGGGTGAGAGCAAACAACTCTGGCATACTCCACTGTTATTCGGTACCATTCCCCAATGCTGTTTTTTGAAAAAGACTGCGCTTGTAGCTTTGTTGCAGATTTATATCTTTTCTATGACTTTGATCTGGTTGGCGTTAAAGTTGTATAAGTTCATGGTTGCCCACAAAGCTTCCGGCCATACTCTGTCAAAAACTTTTTTGAAGTCCACACATACGTGGTGGAGCTCCTGTTGGTGTTGGAGGTACTTTTTCATGATGATCCTCAAGTTGAATATTTGTTCAGTTGTGCTGTGCCGTGTCCTGAAGCCTGCCTGTTCTACTGCTATTATTTTCTCTGCTTGTGGCTTCAGTCTGTTGAGAATGACTTTAAACATTACTTTACTAGGATGGCTAATCAGGCTAACAGTACGATAGTTTTGGCATTGTTGAAGATTGCCTTTCTTGGGGAGGGTGATATTCAAGGACTGAGTCCATGGTATTGGCCATTCACATGTTTGCCAGATCTTGTTGCAGATTATCCATAGGCTGTCTATCACCGATTCTCCACCTGCTTGAACTATTTCTGCTGTTATGTTGTCTATTCCAGCTGATTTCCCTTTCTTCAGTGATGAGACTGCTGCCACTATCTTTTCTCTTAAAAGATACTGCTTTGGTCATTGTCTTGTGATTGAGAGACATTAAGCACTCGAGATCTTGGATTTCCTGTAGTTTTGTGGGTATACAGTTAAGAGCAATATTCTGTCCATCGGTTCTGAACTTTTTGTTCCTCTGTTTGACATTTTCCTTCTTTACTTTGTATTGAAGTGGTCCGCCCTTGTTTGGTATTTGTGGGATCTTTGTTGATTTGGTAAGCCTTTTTACTGGTGTTTTGATTTAGGCTGTCTTCAGTTTCTTCACACTGTTCTTCGCTCCACTTCTCCATGGCTCCCGTTTGTTAACTATTTAATGACGTGCTTTTTTGTTGCCCGGAGCACTCCAGAGGTCACCTGACTGGTCGATTTTTAATATTTTTTTCGGGAATGGATATACTAAGGTCAAATTCTCTTAGATTAGTATGTCTATGCATCAGGAGTACGAATATGATATCAGATTTAACAATATTGACCAAAAAAATGAGTTTGAAAAAAAAAAAAAGCCTAACAGAACTTGTCATACTTCACATGCCATGACAGAAGAAATGTTATGACCACCGTATAGAACACTAGGCTAGACCGACGAACGTCAACTTTTTTCAACGTGCGAACGCGGGACTTCGATCCTAACCATAGCATATTATGATAAGATAACAATAATTAATTTATTGGTCCGTCCAAGTTGCGGAAGGACACCGACGGACACAGACCTTTAGTCGGAAAGGGGGGGGGGGGGGGGGGGGGGGGCTGTCGTGGCCTAGAGGTTACTTACGATGTTCGCCTCTCATTCAATAGGTCCCGTGTTCGAATCCGCACAAGGCCGGATAATTTTCTTCTTTTAATGTTCTCCTATTAGCTCCCTTCCTGCTCTCAAACAATGCTCTGTTGTCTGCTTTCGTCTCCAGTTACTGCCCTCATTCTCTCACCTCCCTTGCCCTCTCCTCTATGCTCTTGACTCTTAGTCTTTGCGCAGCCTTTTAACTACTACCTCTTGACTCCTTTCAACCACACACCTGATCTTATTGTAGGTAAGATCTAACACCGAGCCTTCTCAAATAGGGCGGAAAATCTCGGAGGTCCCGTGTGCAAGTTGCGCACGTTAAAGATCCATTGGTGGTCTAAAATCGACCAGGATAGGCTTCGGCCGCTACCCGGGCAAAATTCAAAATTTCCTATCAACTGAAAATGTTTAATGTGCCCAGCGCGCTCATATGACCTTATGCAGTTGCGAGCGCCGTGAAACACTAACCAGAAAAAAGATATAATCTAAATAATATAATAAAAAGACCTTTGGTCTGAATGTGCAGTTACGGACGCCTTGGAGGATTCCGACCAGGGCCATCCGCACAATAGCATAGCACGCCACGTACGGCGCCCATTATATGATAAAATCGATCTGTTTCAAAATGCTCTTATTCCTAACACCTTTTTTGGCATCTATATACAATGTACCCACTTCCTCACCTTTTCTTTCTCGAGATCTGGCATTTATTATGAATAAGTAAGCTGGCTTTGAAAATTGAGAAAGAATTATGTTTTATCCTCTCTATCTCAGAAGGACAAACTTAATTGTGAGCTTCTCAGAAAATGTTGGTGACAAAAACTGAAAGAGAACACTGAGACTACATCCACGGAAGAACCCGTCAAGTGGAGGCTACGCACAAAACAAACAAACGACAACAACAAACAAAACAAAACTACAGCAGCAGCACTAACAACAACAACAGCAGCAACAACAACAACAACAACAACAACAACAACAACAACAACAACAACAACAACA